GCAGAGTGATATGCCGGGAAGGCAGTGTGAAGTGCAGGGAGAGGAGAGTAGTGTCCTCCCTCCCCAGCGGCAGGCTGAGTTACAGGGGGCTGAGGTAGTTGTTCCTGCCCCCCAGCAGCCAAGTGATATGCCGGGAAGGCAGTGTGAAGTCCAGGGAGAGGAGAGCAGTGTCCTCCCTCCCCAGCGGCAGCGTGATTTTTTGGGAATTGAGAGCCCAGTCTCCATTCCCCAGCGGCAGTATGATGCTTTGGGAATTGGGAGCCCAGTCTCCATTCCCCAGCGGCAGCACAGATCATTGGGAATTGGGAGCCCCGTCTCCATTCCCCAGCGGCAGAGTGTCCTACCGGGAATAGAGAGCCCAGTCTCCTTCCCCCAGCAGCAGGACTCTGTATTAGGAGCAGAGACAGTCGGTCTCCCTCCCCCGCAGCTGGAAGTATGTATGGGAGAGGAGCTTGTTACCCCCTCTCCCCAGCGGCAGCTTAATGTACCAGGGGGAGACAGTAAGCCCCACAACCATGCAGATGGGACCGTAGTCTCTACACTGCCAGCACAGGGGGTAGGGACGGTCGGTCCTGCCCCCCCAGCGACAGGGCTGTTTAGCCAAAGGGGAGACAGTCGGTCTCCCCCTCCAGCAGCAGAGATGGGTAACCAAAGGGGAGACGGTCGGTCTCCAGCAGCAGGACTGTGCATCTAAAGGGGAGACAGTCAGTCTCCAGCAGCAGCAGCAGAGCGGTGTATTTAAAGAGGAGACAGTCGGTCTCCCCCTCCAACAACCAGGCTTCCACCAGGCTACCCTCCCAGTAGCGCTGGCAACAGGGCAGAGTGCCGCTGGTCTCTGCCTACGCAGCAACCCACCAAGTCAGCGTACCCGTACCCAGCACAGCCGTGGTGAGGCACCTGGACATGGACAAGCTTCTCCTTTACCCAGGTGTAGTAACCATTTATTGTGGGTGGGCTGTGCTGTTGATTATTTGTTGTGGGTGGGCTGCTGGACTAACAAGGGCACTTACCGGCAGGAGGTCAGATACCCTGTTAGTCTGTTTGGAAAAGGGGAGAGATGTGACGAGACCAATCTCGCCACATTGCATTGGAGAAGCCTGGTTGCTCGCCTGCTGCCTTTGGACTATGGCCCCCTTTTAAAAGACTTTATTTTTTGCCTGCAGAAAAGCTTCATTCGTGCTTTTCTGCCTGGGGTTCAGTAGATTTGTTTGAATGTGTTATACCCCAGATAGGAATCCCATGGAGCCCATTCGTATGAAACTGACTGTAAAGACTTTAGCTCCATGGCGATTAAACTGTATTCGTGTGGTCTGAGCACCATTCACTTAATAATGTGCGCTCGGACCTGAGCTATCTGGGGATATGTTACATATCTGTGTTTTATGTAATAAATGTGACTTTATGTATTTTAAAGTGTTTTGTGTCTCTTTGCAACCATGTGCTTAATGGAGTCTTGTGTCTGTCCTGGGAGATAATTGAATTACTTATCTCCAGGATAGAAGACTCTGAAACTGGTTTGGGCAGAAAGCCATGCTTCATTTAGTCACAAAGGACTTTTTACTAACTTTTGAACCCCTTGTCTGATTTGTGCCATTTTTGAATATGTTGTTCCCCTGAATGGATTGATTGTGAATATGTAATTTTATGTGAATGTGATGTATGGTTTAGAGTTATGAAAGTTGGGTAGAAAGTATGTTTTAACTGTATGTGTAATTGAGTTTCCTCTCAGGATAAGGGGAGGGAATATGTGAGATGTAACTGTGATGTGATTGGTTGTTTTATACCTCCCTGTGGGCGGTCCTGTATTTGCAAGACTGTAATAAAAACCAGGCTGGGTGTGCCAGCACCTCAGACCACTGCTTGACCCTCAACACAGAGCCTTGTCTCGTTCTTGGGGGATTCACTGTATGCTGTTAGAGACTGATTGCCAGGAGTGTAAGCTGTTCGTCTGCTTTTCCTGTTCGTCTGCTAGCAGCTATTTGGGAGGTTCCAGTTCGGGAGTTGGAGTGCTATTTTGTATCCAGTTCGTGAGTTTTGGTGTTCTGCAGTAGCTGTGCCTGGATCTCTGGAAAGGGGGCTGATCGCCTAAACGGTTTTTACCCCTTGTGTGCAAAACGGTCCGTTACACACACCTACTTGGATGGTATAGACATTTTCAGCTGCTCCTGGCCCGAACACCTGACCCACATAGGAGCCGTAATAGACCGGATTAGGGAGTCCGGACTGACCCTAAAGCCCAGTAAGTGCCATATAGGAACGTGTAAAAACCTCCCCAAGATAGTAGTATAGGCCCCAGAGTGTGAACAGGCCTTCCAACAGCTCAAGACGGCGCTCATTAAATCACCTGTACTTTCTTCTCCTGATCCAACTAAACACTTTCTCGTCCATACAGACGCTTCTATGCTTGGATTGGGAGCAGTATTGAGCCAAGTCGGAGCAGATGGTGGCTAGCAACCCGGGGCTTATCTAAGCCGTAAACTTTTGCACAGCGAAGTATATTCACTGCCATTGAAAAGAAGTGCATGGCGGTGGTGTGGGCCCTCAAAAAGCTGCAACCTACTTGTATGGACAACCGTTTACCTTACTCACAGATCACAACAAATTTGGGGCATTGCGCGTGCAATCTAATGTGCCACCAGATAGGAGTGTTGTGTTTAGTACTATTGTTATCAGTTTAATCACTGTTACGTCCCCTATCCGTTGATGTGGAGCAAGACGCAGCAGCAGAAGAAGACTAAGCCGAGGAGGTTATGGAAGAGGATGGAGTAGGAGGTGTAGAGGAGGTGGCAGCGTACTGGCAGAGTACACGCTGTAGGGCTGACACACCTGCTTGAAGATAACTAACTGCTATTCAATCTATAACAGTGAAAAAAGGTTTTTGTTTTTAAATCCAAGCTATTGTGACACCAGTGAGTGAGTGGTGGCACTGGGCACAGTATCCACTGTGATCCTGTCACACCTGCTTTGAGACAACTAACTGCTATTCAATCTATAATTGATGTTTGTTTCACAGGCAGAAAGTGCCCTAAAACATGGCGGCTTGAACCCTAGTTGGTGGCGGATAAGTCACGCAAGTCAACCGGCATTCAGAGCTAAAATACAGCAGCGTGTGGACCATTTTTAGCCCAAGGCAGCTCATCTCATCAGGCCTTTTTTAATCTAATGTATCGCCCAGTGTCAGTCCCTTCGGGATCCATCCCTCATTCATCTTAATAAAGGTGAGGTAATCTAGACTTTTTTGACCTAGGCGACTTCTCTTCTCAGTGACAATACCTCCTGCTGCACTGAAGGTCCTTTCTGACAGGACACTTGAAGCGGGGCAGGCCAGAAGTTCTATCGCAAATTGGGATGGCTCAGGCCACAGGTCAAGCCTGCACACCCAGTAGTCAAGGGGTTCATGGCTCCTCAGAGTGTCGATATCTGCAGTTAAGGCGAGGTAGTCTGCTACCTGTCGGTCGAGTCGCTCTCTGAGGGTGGATCCCGAAGGGCTGTGGCGATGCGTAGGACTTAAAAAGGTCCGCATGTCCTCCATCAACAACCCGTCTCTAAAGCGTCCTGTCCTTGCCGGCGTGGTCATGGGAGGAGGAGGATGGCTTCCACCTCTCCCCCTGTTAGATTCCCGTTGTGCTGTGACATCACCCTTATACGCTGTGTAAAGCATACTTTTCAATTTATTTTGCAAATGCTGCATCCTTTCATACTTGTTGTAATTCGGTAACATTTCCGCCACTTTCTGCTTATACGGGGGGTCTAGTAGCGTGGACACCCAGTACAGGTCGTTCTCCTTCAGCCTTTTTATACGAGGGTCCCTCAACAGGCACGACAACATGAAAGACCCCATTTGCACAAGGTTGGATGCTGAGCTACTCATTTCCCGTTCCTCCTCCTCACTGATGTCAATGAAGGTATTTTCTTCCCCCCAGCCACGTACAACACCACAGGTACCAGATAGGTGACAACGAGCACCCTGGGATTCCTGTTGTGGTTGGTCTTGCTCCTCCTCTTCCTCCTCCTCAAAGCCACATTCCTCCTCTGACTCCTCTTCCTCACAATCATCTTCCAGCGTTGCCGCAGGTCCAGCAAGCGATGCTGATAAGGCTGTTTCTGGAGGTGATGGTGA